CCCTTCTCCCAGGAAGAATTTAAGGATCTGATGATGACAGCCGTTTCTACTCAAATAGCTTTTGCTGATTTCTTGGGAAATATTCACAATCCTCCTAGAGACCCTCGTTTGTCTTTCCTTACAGGGCTACGTTAAGTCTTGCGAAATGCTTTGTCCCTCCTACCCTTACCCTCCGCCCTTACTGTGTTCACTGATGGTACCAAATCCAGAGGGGTGGTGGTGTGGGAAGAGGAGGGGGAATGGAAAAGTTTGTATACTGCTGAGCAGTCCTCAGCACAACGTGCTGAATTGGCAGCTGTAATTTTGGCATTTCAACAGTTTGCTAATATCCCTTTCAATCTCATTGTGGATTCTCATTATGTATATAATCTTTTGAATGTCTTACCATTGTCTTATATCACTCCTGCTATTGATCAAAATTTGTTTACATTGTTTTCCACTTTGCAGAACTTGGTACAAGCTAGAACTTGTCAGTTTTATGTAGCCTATCTCAGATCTCACACTGGCTACCCTGGGTATTTGGCAAAAGGTAATGCCCAGGCAGACCATGCTTTGAAGAATGGTATTTTTTCATTGTTTTCAGACCCATTTGAAAGTCATTCTGTATTTCATCAAAATGCTAAAGTTCTGGCAAAATCTTTTTCGTTGCCCATTTCTCAAGCTCGAGACATTGGGCTTTTTCTGGATTGTGGTTTTTACATGCCAATAATCGAGCAACACAGGTTGCTCGGAAGTGGCCATTGGACTAATTTACCATTCTCATCCTTATTGGCATCACTTGGATTTTACCCCCCAGATATTTTTGTTTCTCCTCCCTCAGGAGTCCTGCCCTATGATGTGTTCCTCTGAGCATGTACAGAGGGCTGTCTTGGAACTATTGTGGACTCTTGGCAGGGGAGGGGGTGAGGGGATTTTAGTGTGTTCCAGTTGTTTCATTTTTGTGCTTTGGCATGGTTCCCGGACAGAAAGAAAGTTGCAATATGGTTCTTTAACAAGGCCTGCGAATACAATGGGCTCTGTTCTCGACCTTGTTGCAATCTTTTTAGTTACAGCAAGCGGAATATGCTTGAAGCGAAATATGCTTGACTAGTGCCTTTTAGCTGCTGAGAAAAATGATTTTAAAAAGTTTTGAGAAGTTTTCAGTTTTTTTTGGTGGTGGTATTCTAGCATTCCAGTAAATGCTTCATATAAGATTAGCAATAATATGAAGGACAATCGTATATGTTTATCGCCTGTGTTTTGTTGCTTGCAGAAATAGTGCCTTATTGTTTTCGTTTTAATCATAATAGCAATAACTTTTTAGGTCATTTTCTATATTATAATTGGATGAGTATTTTGATGGATTTTTTTGTTTTTTATTTTTTTTAATATTACCACTATGAGTGATAGACCGAAAGTCTCAGTTAATAATGTCACAACCTACATGACCTATGAACAACAGGCTGTGTGTAGAGATTTTATGTTTGGTTCAACTGGATGAGAAAGAGCAGTAAATCTACATATTTGCTTCAATCTGATTTATGGTTATTCTGTGGCAAATTGGACCGAAGCTTTGTTTTTAATTCTATCATCTTTGTTTTAAAAATAATCAACGAAAAACAAACAAAAAAAAAGTCAGAAATGAGAGAAGTTGCTTTATAAACTTTTTATGCTTTAAATGTAATCCTTGCCTCTAAAGGTGGAATTTATGCCTTAATTCATTTTCATTGTTATATGTATATAACTGATCAATCGACCAATATCTCCGCTACTATTGATTATATGGAACAAATGATAACCCATAATCCTTTGAATCCGCCTGAAGGTTTTGATCCATGGGACTGGTTATTTTCTTGGTTACCTAATGGATTATGGTTAAGAAACTTATTATTGATTGTAATTGCATGTATTGTTGGTTTTATTATGTATTCAATGCTTGCTTTTTTTTTGATTTCCCAATGTATTGCATGGTGGTTTCGACCAAGGCCCACCACAGGGGTTACAAGAGGAATTTATGTTGCAAAATATAAACGCTTAGGTAATGAGATATATGATTCTGATTAAGATTCCCTCTTATAATATAAACAAGAAAAGAGGGCATGTGGGAAAATGATTGCTTGTACATAAGAGCATGAGCAGAGTTCTTATTATTGCAGAGTGATTTTACAGCACGAGATATTGCTAAGAGCATGATGAGCACGTGAACACCTCATGCTAGACTAATGATTGGCTCACGTAGCATAACACTCTCTTTGTCTGTGGGCAAAAGCAAGGTTACATTCCTTTGATTTGTTACTTTTGAGTACCAGGCAGAGCAAGCTCAGTGCTGGAGGAGGGAGGATGATCTATTTTTTACTGCACACAATAAACGTTGCGGCTGGAGCCAAAGCTTTTTCTTCAAGTCATCTTGGTGTGAGACTGATTTCTTACTGATTTTCTTACTGATGTCGAGCTGGATTCTCGACACATGTCTGAAAGTTCATCAGCCTACCTCTGGGTTTTTAATATCAAATACCAAGTGGAATGGCACTTGAGATAATCGGATCCTTCCCACTGCCGAAAACTTATCTGCAATGTCAAATCTGCTTTTAATATTCAGAAAACTATACCAGAAAACTGAAACCCTGCGTTCATTGGAGAAAAAGTGGGATGTAAATGTAATAATAAGATTGTTCTTTTTAAGATGAAAATGCTTTTGAACGAGTGGTTCACTATTACTGTCAGGACAGAGACTTCGTTGAAGAATAACAGTGCTTTTAATGTGATGGTTAATCAGTGTTAACTTGCTTGATACTCTTAAAGTGAGAGGTCCTCATTCCAATGTCAAATCTGCAAAATGCATTTGAATTTTTGCAACTACTCTGGGGCACTTAAAAATAGAATAGGTGCTTCTGATGAGCTTCCCTTATGTCTCCTATACTCTTAACTGGACCTAATTACAGCTGCCATAGTAGTTAATGCAGTACAGACAGTCCACATTATTTTGGTAAGGTAAAGCTAACAACATGGAATGCTAAACAAGAAATCTGTTCTAAGGAAGTCTTGGCACTGTACTGACTATTATTCTCTGAACAGTATTAACAGGCTCAAGGTTTTAAGACAAACATTTCCTGAAAGTGTATCATGTTAGCAGCTGCTAATACTGAGATAGGTCAGCGACAACTCAGTGTATTCATAATTGCTTGTAATCTACATATTTAAATAAATATGACATACTGGACTTAAGTGGTTTGTGCATTATCTATTCCTTCTAAACGTGGCATGGAACAAACATTGGGCACACATAGTAGTTGAACCGTTTAGCTCTCATTATTCTACCTCTTCTTACTCTTGAATTTTAATCCTAAACTAATTGAAAGTCAATCTTATTTGAGTTTTACTTTGTCCAAGTAATGAGTTTAGGATTGTGGTGTTGCATATACAAAGCCTTTCTATAATTGCTGTTCATTATTTACTTTCAGCTACTCTAGGGGATTTATGATCACCTGAAACTAGTACTGCTCTTGATGCATACTGGGTTCTTTGTAATGCAACCTATGGCAGGTAGTAAAGCCTAGGTGTTCAAAAGGCTTTTCACAGCAATCTTAATAAAAATGGTATTTCCAGTGTTTTAAAGAGGGTTATAAATTATGTGGCATTGGGACTGTTCTTCAGGTTTGTGAGAGTTCTCTCCTATCTACACAATTCCGTGGTCTTCACATGATCCCTCTTCTATTGAAAATATATTCCATGTTGTGATTAGTCGTTAGCCTAGTGTTTTTTAAGTAACTATTGAGAAGTCTCCTGAGAGTAGCAATGTTTTCTTTTCTGGCTTCCACAAAACTCTGGAAGGGCAAGATAGGAAAAGAATCAGTCATGCTATCACAAATGTCTTCAGCATCCTATTATTCATAGCTACTGAGCTTGAACCATCTCTACAATGGTGCATACCTCTTCTTAAGGACTAGAAAGTATCTCTGAAGCCTTTATGTATTTGTCACACTTGAATATTGTTCATCCTACATGGGAGTTTTGGCCTACAACTCCCATGATCCCTAGCTAGCAGGACCCAGTGGTCAGGGATGATGGGAATTGTAGTCTCAAAACATCTGGAGGGCCGAGGTTGAGGAAACCTGCTCTAGACAGTTTGCAACATGGTAAACCGTTTTTTAAGGTGAATGTTACCAAGAAGACAATTTAAAACCCCAAGAACAGCACTGCTTCACCTGGATTAGATGAAAAGATGTGAAGCTAGTTGTAATCTATATATTGCTGACACTTAGCCCAGGTGCCCTAACTTGTAGTTTCATTTAGATGTTAAATAAGACTCCAATTCAGTGGATGATGTCCAAAGACAAGATAGAGCCCTATGGAACACAATGACACTGGTGCCAGTGTGTGGAACAATAGTCACCTAACATCACCTTGTGGAACCAGCTGACCAGGTAAAAATGGGACCACTGGAGTACAGTGCCAGCAGTTCCCATCTGGACAGCCTTGTAGTTTTTTTGAAGAAACTTAAGGATCTTTAACCTTTTTCAGTACCTTCACAAAAGTGTAGTTCCAGGTAACCATGGAATTTAGTTTTAAATTTGTACTTTAGGTACTGTACAAGCATTACTTATACAGTGGTACCTCGGGTTAAGTACTTAATTTGTTCCAGAGGTCCGTTCTTAACCTGAAACTGTTCTTAACCTGAAGCACCACTTTAGCTAATGGGGCCTCCTGCTGCTGCCGTGCCGCCAGAGCCCGATTTCTGTTCTTATCCTGAAGCAAAGTTCTTAACCTGAAGCACTATTTCTGGGTTAGTGGAGTGTGTAACCTGAAGCGTATGTAACCCAAGGTACCACTGTATAGGTCTCTCTCTCTCTCTCTCTCTCTCTCTCTCTCTCTCTCTCACACACACACACACACACACACACACACGGGTGTGAAATTTCCCTAGTTTGTGATAGAAATAGAACAAAGTGTATTATGAACCAACAGTTTCAATTGCTATGTGCCATACTATAGTAGATTTAATTATGGTTTTCTCTTTTCAGTGACTATTTATTCAAGCTGCTTCTGATTGGAGACTCTGGTGTTGGAAAATCTTGCCTTCTGCTTAGGTTTGCAGTAAGTTGTCATGCATCTTCAACTTTTTGTTAACGATTAACCTTAAAAACTGATTGCAATGCAAAAATGAATGTGTTCCAGGTTTCCTGGTTTTTCTTTCCTACTGGCTAGTCATAATCAAAAGAAAATACCAATTTACAGTCACATGATACCAATAATCAAAAGAAAATACCAATTTACAGTCACAGTCTCCTTTTATGGGTGCAGTTACCCTTCAAATTCAAATGGGTTCTTCTAGCAGGCAGAACTGAAGTTTAATTTTTTAGTTGCATATTCACCTGAAAACTCGCATATTGTTGAATTGTCCTTGCTGTGCCGAGCTCATTTGCATGATTGGTTCAGATGCCAGCTGATGAGTGAAAAAAATTCCTGCTTGATAAGCTTCCTTCCTTTGGTAGCTTGAATGGAGAGCTATCAAAACATAGGCTCTTTGAACATACTGCTATATGATCTTTGCAATTACCACATGATAACTGTAGGCCATATTGAGAACTAATCCTATGATTTGTAATATTTGTAGAATACGAAACACAAGCAGGTTGGACTCTTAGCTTAATCTTATGCACAATTAAATTGAAAGTAAATTGCATGGAGTTCAATAGGACAGTTGCATGGAGTTCCAAGTACAGTGGTGCCCCGCAAGACGAATGCCTCGCAAGACGAAAAACTCGCTAGACGAAAGGGTTTTCCGTTTTTTGAGTCGTTCCACAAGACGAATTTCCCTATGGGCTTGCTTCGGCGAGTTCTTGCGAGTTTGTTTCCTTTTTCTTAAAGCCGCTAAGCCGTTAATAGCCTAGCCTAATAGCCGCTAAGCCGCTAATAGCCGTGCTTCGCAAGACGAAAAAACCGCAAGACGAAGAGACTCGCGGAATGGATTAATTTCATCTTGCGAGGCACCACTGTATACTTGGAATAAGTATGCTAAGGTTTGCAGCTGTGAGTTGTGCCTAATTTTGCATAAGACAATGAAGTTCTACATTTAGTTTATAACTCAGGGAGGAACATTGTGGTGGTTGCCTTTCTTATTCTTTCCTTCACTAAATCTAAGACTTGGCAGCAGGGGAGAATCAGTAGGCCAGAATCTTGAGCATGCCTAATGCTTTTTACTTTAAAAAGCAGGCCCCATGCCACATCACAAACTGCTTTTGAAAGTCCATTATTGCTTAGCTTAAGAGTCAACAACTCTTAATTCACATGTTAATGAAGATTTTATTGGTATCATCTTGTTCCAAAAACGTTAAAGGTAAAGGGACCCCTGACCGTTAAGTCCAGTTGCGGACGACTCTGGGGTTGCGGTGCTCATCTCGTTTTACTGGCCGAGGGAGCCGGTGTACAGCTTCCGGGTCATGTGGCCAGCATGACTAAGCCGCTTCTGGCGAACCAGAGCAGCACACAGAAACGCTGTTTACCTTCCCGCCGGAGCGGTACCTATTTATGTACTTGCACTTTGAAGTGCTTTCGAGCTGCTAGGTTGGCAGGAGCAGGGACCGAGCAACGGGAGCTCACCCCGTCGCGCGGATTCGAACCGCCAACCTTCTGATCGGCAAGTCCTAGGCTCTGTGGTTTAGAGTTTAGACCACAGTGTTAGCCCAATGAAGAATTTAAGTTATTGGGAAGCCCTAGAGGCAAAACTACTGGACTTCTAACCCAGGAGAAGAACAAAACAGAAACAAATAATGTAATGAAAAGGGTGTCCAATGTATCTCAATAATCCCAACAGTTTAATAGTTTTTTTTTCTTAAAACAACAATATCAGAACAAGTAAATAAATAGTAAATAAGTAAGTAAATATTTGCACAATAAGAGTTTGCACCCAAAGTGAGATAAAACCCACCTGGAGCAGAAAGAACCTTTTTGTGTAAAACTACTCCTAGGGCCCAGCGGACTCATGCAGTGCATTATAATGGTTTTTGGTGTAATTGGAAATTCCCAGGAAAAATAACATCTTACAAAGGCTGAGCCCGAACTTTTCATGTAGAGCAAATAGTTCTATGTAGCATGTGAGTAAGTTATAATTTTTAATTGAACAATAAACTGATTAATATAAACTGCAGACAGTGTTTAACTAAATAATTGTGTGAGCAGAACAAGCTCTGCTTGCACAACAGGACTTCTCCCTCTCTTCCCCCTGCATGTGCTCTATGCCATCCCTTAATTTGCAGAGGTATGACGAAAACCCCAGAACAGATGGGAGGAAGGAGTTTCCTTATACAATTCCACTTCTGCAATAACTTAGTTGAACCCCACCCAATATTTTGGGGTTGGTAATGGGGAATGCATGGTCCAATGGAAAACCACACACCATATTGATAATTCATGCTTTTCTGTTTGAGCATCAAACATGATTAAGTGTTAAAAGTAAATAAACTTGCTCTTGGTACCTAAGATCTCGCTCCTTTTCTGTCCCTGACAGAATTATGTGAATCAGCCCTTACTGTGACACCAGGCAGATAGCGGTTTAAGGTTTCCTCACCCATTGCATTATTGAAATATATATTGCAAGAGTTGTGACTGTGGCCAAACTTTGACTGCAAGTCGTGTCTGCAGTGAGCCATGACACCTTACCTTTGCTGGTGCATATAGTTGCATCACTTTTTACGCAAGGTGAGAGTACAGGCTGGTATAATGGCTTCAGCTCCACCCTTTCCAGAACCTTGACTTGTCTTGATTCTGGTTTGGCCTTTGTAGGACACAGTGCTGCTGATTTGTAAATGGTGATATTCTTTTCTCTTCTCTTCTCCCATTTAGGATGATACGTACACAGAAAGCTACATCAGCACAATTGGCGTGGACTTTAAAATCAGAACTATAGAGTTAGATGGGAAAACAATCAAACTTCAGATAGTAAGTATCCCCTGTTCTGCTTGGTGAGTCTAATCTAGTTCATGGGAGGAATTCAACATTGTGCCAGTATGATTGTCCCTTTAGTGCAATCTCTCCTCTATGTGTTGTTCTTGGGGGGGGGGACACACCCCTAGTGCTGATTTGAGACAGGGGGCAGGTGAAGAGAAGGGGTCAGCCCTGTACCACTATTAGGATTTATTGTGCAACTGCTTAGCTGAATCCAGCCCCATTTGTTAATTTCTGTAGTGCTATAAAATGGTTAAATATTAGAAGTAGGAGCTGAATGAATGGTCCAAGTGCTTTACTGCTGCTAATCAGATAGTTTGGGGAATTGTGATTTTTTTTACCCGTGTTTAATTAAAATGCAGTCTGGTGATTTCAAGTCAAGCGTGGTGGTTATTATTATTGCAACGCTTGGCCGAACAATTCGTTCCCGTTGATATGGTTCCTGCTCCAGTTTTAAAACTGGAAACTTGTTTGGTTTCTGACTTAAGTTCCTGCTGTTATGTTCTGACTCCCTGAAGCAAAATAACCTGCTTTTGTCTGTGCTGGGGAGGGGTAGGAAACCTTGTGCAGAAGCCAACAATGAACTCTTATAGGCTCTTTTCCAGGGAAGACTTTTCATTTCAATCAACTTGACTGCTCTTTGTATTCTCTGCTAAGCAAGGCAATATTTCTAAATTAAACAATTGGCAAACTACAAGTCTGGGAAATCTGGTGTATCTTAATGTGCTAAATGCAGAGACTTCTGCAATGATACAATTAACAAGCTCCATTAACCCTGAACACAGTGAAAACCAAGTGCACTCGTGACACTTTGGGAGCAGCAAACTAAGGAAAACACAGTAAGATTCAGAGCAGGGGGGGGGACCTGGACCCTCCAAATATTGCCGCACCCCTGGACCTGCGGCCATGCTGGCTAAGGCTGATGGCAGTTGGAGTAAATTTGGAAGGACACGGGTTCCTTACTCTTCTTGGAGAGCTTACCGTATTTTTCGCCCTATAGGACGCTCTTTTTCCCCTCCAAAAATGGAGGGGAAATGTGTGTGCGTCCTATGGAGCGAATGCAGGCTTTCGCTGAAGCCTGGAGAGCGAGAGGGGTTGGTGCGCACCGACGCCTCTCGCTCTCCAGGCTTCAGGAAGCTCTGCGCAACCCGGCGAAGTCGCGCCGGTCTCCCAAGGGCTGCGCAGATCTGCCTGCATTCCGAAGCCTGGAGCGCACTGAAGAGCGCGCCCGGGCTTCGCCCAGCTCTCCGCAAGCCTGGGGAGACCGGCGCGACTTCCCGCCGGGATCCCTAGGCTTGCGGATAGCAGGCTGTTCTCGGGGCTGGGGTTGGGGGAAGCTCGGGCTTCCCCCGCGCCAGCCCCGCGCCTGGGGGGGAAATAATTTTTTTTCTTTATTTCCCCCCCCCCCCAAAAAAAACCTAGGTGCGTCCTATGGGGCAAAAATACGGTATATCCTTGGGCAATATCAGAGATGACTTAATAGGGCAGAATAATTTGGTCGTGAGATTGCACGTGGTTATGGCTGTGTTATTTGCATAAGGTTCTACTCTATTTCTTTACGGAAGCTAATTTTCATATGTTATCTAATGCATTTCCCTGCTATAGCCCACTAAGAGCCTGTTCATGTTAAGCCAACTATCTATCAATGGTTTGTATTGCTTGCAAATTTGTATTTCTTGTAGTATGCCACCCCATTTTCCAGCTACGCTTTTTAATTGGGGTAGGGGAAATGCTTGTGTTGGACACCTCAGGTGCACAGTGGACTAAACTCAAGGTTCTGCAATCCTCTTACGTAGAATCAAAGTCTCAAAATATTTGATACTGTGAGATAAGATTCTGTATCTGAAATGGTTAAGGGTTAAGGCTGGGGTTAGCTGTGAAAGGCTATGCAGAAACAGTAATAGGGGTGTAGTGTCCCCAGGGTAGATTTGGTTTAAATCAAATCAATTTAAATCACTAGTCAGTAAGAATCGATTTGAATCACTTTTTTTACAGAAAGACTCATTCTTGCTGGTATAATCTTAATATTTACAACCGGATGAAGGTTTCATTTTTGGAATAATAAATTTTCAGAGTAGTTTTTATAGTTATATAAAAAATTATTGATTTGGTTATACTATTAGAAATACATAGACGGATAATTATGAAATTATTGTGAGGTTTAATAAGTTAACTGTTTATATTTGGACAACTTTTCTGCTGTATTTTATTGGAAGGAGAAAAATAATCATTTCCTTAATAACAACTTAAATAATTTCTTTAACTAAAACAATAACATTATAGCATATGTTTCCATGTTTGTTAACTGATGTGGTTAAACATTAAACCCCCCCCCCAAAAAAAACTTAGACTGAGTTTTAGCACACATGAAAAACTTAAAACTTCTGTATTTCCACCAGCAACCATCCCTTTAGGTTTGCTTCTACATTCAGGTGCCTATTCTGTACAGTTAAGTGTTAGTGCAGTTGCTGGAACCCAATGGGATTGGAAAGAGTTTGCCAGCCCTGAAGTGCCTTCAGCACTTGCCTCAAGTCTGTGTCACACAGACATGCAACTGACTTGCATAATTATTACACAAAGACCCCAAGACTTGCGGAGTATTCTGCTCACAAGGTTGCACTTTTATTTTTACTGCTTCACACTTAGCTACTTGTGCAGATCTATTACACTCCAAACAATCTATTCATTGATCCCCTTGGAACTTAGCATTTAAGAGGGAAGGGGTTGATTCTGTGTATATAAATTTGCAAAGAAACAATGGGATTAATGTTTTCCCCTGGGCTCTATATATTTTATAACATTTTTCCTGTGAAGAAAAGGCATGTTATCTCTGCAGACACAAATTCACACTTTTGAAAACTGCAAAAACAAGCATCTGTGATAATACCTTCTCCTTAGAAAAACTGCCCCAAATAATCTTACAGAAACCTCTGATGGATTAATGGCATTCATTTGCCAAAAAAATTAAACATTGCACATAAAGCCTCATGCTACATAATTGAAAACAAATCTTTATTTCCTGATGAATAGCCTTTGGACTATAATGTAACTTAAATAGAAAACTCTCTTTAGAAATATTTTTCCTTCAAAAGCATTTTATTTTTATAAATCCAATTTAAATTTTAAAACCTGATTTATTTATTTTATTTAAAAACTTTGAATTTTTTATCCACCCTGAGTGTCCCTAAGATAGTGGATAAATAGCTGAAAAGGTATATGCAAGCAGGTTTAGAAAGAAATTTAGGTTGCTTAAAGAAGCTGTTAAATCTCCTGACACACTTGGGAATGGTAAAGTTGGAAGGGATCTGAGGTCATCTAGTCCAGTGTTCCAACGTTTTGGGACGGCAACTGTTACGGAAAAAAATCTCGGCACCCACCATAAAGCCCCGCCGTGACGTATTCGGACCGCGCCGGCCTGAGCTGAAGGAGGCGTGCTTTCGGCACAGCATCGCTGAATGTTTCCGCGCGCTGCGAAGGGAACGCTCGGTCGCGCGAACCTCCGGCGCTGGGAGGGAAAGGCGGAGTCGCAGAGCACCAGCTGGCGAGCGTGCGCGAGCGTTCGCTTTGAGAGCGTGCGGCCTGCTAGGGATCGGGAGTGAGCAGGCTGCCGACCGTTGAGAGACAACGGCAGCGCGCCAATAGTCGTGCGCGCGACGGCCCCCGCTCCCCCCACCCCCGCCGGATCCTCGCCGCCGCCCCTCCGCCCGCCGTCCCTCCCCACGGCACACCAGCCGATGTCTCACGGACGTAGTGTGCCGCGGAACACCGGTTGGGAAACACTGATCTAGATCCAACCCTTTCAATGCAGGAATTCTCAAGCATCCATGACAATGGCCATCTAATTTCTGCTTTAAAAATCTCCAATGAAAAACGTCCACCACCTTCCGAGGGAGTCCGTTTCACTGTTGAGCGGCTCTTACTGTCAGAAATTTATTCCTGGTGTTTCATTGAAATCTCCTTTCTTGTAACTTGAATCGATTTGTATGGGAAGCAGAAACCTATTCGATAATGTGTGATCAACATTGGACACTAATTCCACATATGACACAGGCTGGAGTGTTTTAGTGGCACTTCAGCCATAGGACTGGCTATATGGCATAAGCAGACCTGCACTGCTCCACAGCTGGGCAGAGCAGCAACAAACCACCATCTACATATGTACTGAAATGCGTGGTAGTGGTGCACTCTTGTCTTGTTCTTTGTATTCATGGTCTGTCCATAGCTGATGTAGAATTTAAAAGGATTTTCTCAAGTTAAGTTCTGCATGACGTTTGGTGACACTGGGAATGGAACTTTCAAATTCTGAGGACCTTTGGCTATAAATGGGGAAGGGGCAAACCAGGTGCAGTGTTAGAAAAGCTATTCACCACAAGGCGCCTGGAACCTGGTTTTCAGTCACAAAAATAAAATGGCTAGTCACTATTCCCCCCCCCTTCCAAAAAACCATGGTAGCACTTTCTATATGTTTTTTTGAAACACATGATCTAATGCACAATTCACATCAGAGGGAGAGGGAGGGAGGGAGAGAGAGAGAGAGAGAAAAGAGTTGCAAATACACACACATGCACACACTCACACACAGAGAGAAAAGAGGTGTGAACAACTGCTGAGCTCTTCAGGTTTAATGTGTTGGATTGGGCTGGAATCACGAGAAAATGACTGTATCTGGTAGAGCACGGGTGTCAAACACAAGGCCCACGGGCCGAATCCGGCCCGCCAGACCTCGTCATGTGGCCCGTGTAGCCACCGGCGGCCGCCAGCCTTCACCTTTTATTCTCCCCCCCCCTTTTTTTTGACACAAGAAAGCCGCCTCTTCAGCGCATGCAGGGCAGCCTACAAGCCAGAGAACGTCTGCCCTCTAGCGGCGCCGGCCGTTCTACACAGGAAACCTCCACTTTACATGCATTCAGGAAACCTTCACTTGTTTTTATATTGAGCGCATACAACCGGCCCTTTGAGGGTGACCAAACTGAGGGTGGCCCCCGATGAATTTGCGTTTGACACCCCTGTGGTAGAGAAACACACGCAGCCCAACCCCCCCGGCTGCAACTTCATGCAACCTTTTTCAGCCATGGGCCTGTCCACTGTCCCTCAGACCTTGTGGGGGGCCGGGCTATATTTTGGGGAAAATAATAATGAACACATTCCTATGCCCCACAAATAACCGAGATGCATTTTAAATAAAAGGACACATTCTACTCATGTAAAAACACACTGATTCCCAGACTGTCTGCGGGCCGGATTGAGAATGCGATTGGGCTGCATCCGGGCCTTAGTTTGCCTACCCATGATCTAAACCAACATACAAGGCACTTTTCCCTCTCTGTGCTGCCTGGGGAACTCTCTCCTTCAGTGGGCTCACCTTTCCTCCCCTGTCCCTCTCAAATGAATCGGGGAAACTGCTCTTAATTTTACTTTGGAGTCTGCGCCCTCAGCCGGAGAAACACAGTGGCTTACTCAAGAGTTGGGTGAGCAGAACTTGGGGCTGCGGAAGGGAGAGCTTCCCAACCATGAAGAGGGAGGAAAGGGAGGAATGGAAAATAGGAGAAGGCAGAGGCGGCAAGAACGCTCCTGCTGCCTTGTGGGGTGAGAGGGTGGCAGGGTTGGGTTGGGTTGAGCCAGGGGCTTCGTGGAGGGCAGAACAAGCAGCAGCTCTCCATTCACAGCGGGGGGGGGGCCGCGGGCTCCAGGCAGCAGTCACAAACGGCTCTTCAGCACCAACCTCAGGGCAGTTGTGCACCCTGCTTTTGTCTTTGCCGTGTCTCCCGCCACAGCTAGGGTGCAAAATATAGCACCCAGCCATCTGCACGCCTTTGCAAAGGCCCAGCTGCCAGTCGTGAAATGTGACTGGCGGCTGGCTAATTTTGAACACTGACCAGGTGCCGTTCCAGTAATTTGAGGGGTGGAAATACGAATTGGGGAGGTGGTGAGGAGAGAGCTTACCTTTCTGGTGGTAGCATTTTTCTTTTAAACTGTGAAAGTAGAAAGCAGCAAAGGCCATGTCCCTGACTGTCTCCTGGGTTCTGTCACTTTTGCCTTGCATGCTTTTTAAGGTCTTAAATAATAAACGTGCAGTTCTGCAAAGGTAAGCCTGGCTCATGTGACCCTCCCAAATTTGCAGTCTGTCTTTGATTCATTGAATGTGGGAAATCGGAGTTCTATAGAACACTTCAAAAGCAAAGGCTCCCATGAGATTTCACATTTCAATCGTCCTTTGTGCTCCATGGCACAGCAGTGACCATCGAAAAGCCTTTGCACTTTCAAGACCAGTGCAGCTCTCCAAAAACTGAGGACCTTAAATATGTAAAAAGCTTCTGAATTGTAATTCACTGAAGTTAGTAGTACAACGGCTGCCAGACCAGGGAAATTACCATGTTGCTGCTCCACATCACTGTGCTGTTTATTTCTGAGCTTCTTCGCTGCTAATTGAAGGCGCATGATGGCAAGGCTGCTGCTAACCCTCACTGTTGAGGGTTTGATCCTTCACTCTTTAAAGCCAGGTGCTATTTAGAGAGGGGGGTGCTGGGGTGGGGAAATGTACTGAGGGTCCTTGAATAGTTACATGTTTTACAGTTGACACCCCTTGCTTTAACGTATGGCAGTATCTTTCAATTTCACTTCCGTAGTGTAAAGGTGTCGTCTTTTTTGTGGCAGGTACTTCAGAGCAGTCCATAAAGGATCACTGAAAGGATTGACAGAACTCCTTTTAACTTTCCCTGTTTCCCCTTTTCTCTATTGGAATAGAGTGAGCTGCATCTCTGAACAGATGCCATCTTCTAAGTTCTCTTTTGCTTTTTTGTAGTGGGATACAGCAGGCCAAGAGAGATTTCGAACCATCACTTCTAGCTACTACAGAGGAGCTCATGGCATCATAGTTGTGTATGATGTTACAGATCAGGTAAGCACTACCTTTTTTTGCCTTTGAGGAAATAGTGTCTAAAAGCTTGTTTATTGGTTTCTGAGCAAACCATGGGGAAATGTAAACTTTGTACATAGGTGTCAAAAGCTTGTGTGCAGAGAGGAGGCTCATATAAAGTGGTAGTTCTGCCCTCTGAGCCTCCTGCTCCACTTTTCCTGGCAGTCTTTCAATTATTCCTTCCTAGGTGACCGGAAAGGTGTCTGTTTTAGAGTTTACACCCACACCAAATTGCTTTAAATGCAGCTTATTTTCATTGCTATTGTGGCTCTCTGAAGGAAAGATCTCGCGCTTGATAAGGTCCTTTTCTTTGGCTGCAGCCACAGGCAGAAGTGATGGAGCTAAGAAGAGTGTGTTTTAAGTACCTTAGTCCAAAAATCTGTCCAGTTTAAAAAAAAAATTGCTGGGGTGAGCTTTAAGCTAGCTTATAGCAACACTTCAAGTTCTCTCGTACACTTGTACAAGATAAAGGCAATATTTAACACATACCTCCTTATGTTCCAGGAGTCTTTCAATAATGTAAAACAGTGGCTTCAAGAAATAGATCGTTATGCCAGTGAAAATGTTAACAAGTTGTTGGTAGGGAACAAGTGTGATCTGACCACAAAGAAAGTAGTAGACTATACAACAGCAAAGGTACGTCAACTGATTTTACAAGTTTTTTTAAATAATTGCAGCAGTTCTGACTTTGGATATGGGCTCAGGTGGTGTAGGGCAGGGCAATATCTGGTTTTCAACATTGTGCTATATCACCAGCTAAATGTCGTGATATAAGAATATATATGACAATGTCTGAAATAAGAATGGAGGGGAAGGTGGGGAGGGGAAAGCCATTGATTCCTAGATGTGAACTTCACACCCGTTTTGGACAATGCATTGCCCAGCCCTAGCCAAGAACATTGTTCTCCTGCAGCACTACCTTGCATTTTCTTTGTGGGGAGGAATTTTTTTTTTGCACTTTTTAAAACTCCCCAGGAATGTACCAAAAACATAACCATGAACAAGTGAAAGGAGAACTTCACACCCCAGGGATACCCTTGTTTTTAAAGTGTTCAGTGTCTACTTTAATTTTTTTAGAAGTGCTGTTCACTAAATTAAAAGGACAATATTGCCCTTTAGTTATAGCAACAGTTGTGAAATGATTGGCAGCTGCTATGTGTGTGTGCGTGTGTGTGTGTGTGTAAAAAATGCCCAGTTGTCCAGTCACTCATTGAACGGGGGGAAAATCAATCATTGCCCGCCCACCTGAAAACTCAACCATTTCTTGGCGGGGGGTGGTGGGGGTGAAATTTAAGGCATTTAAGGGCCTGGAGTCAAGCTATTTCCAAGTTGGCCAGTTTCAACCAGAAATAGTGGGAAACATTTTAAAGAAGTCCACTGGGGCTACTAGGATATAAGTTATAAGCTAGGAAATTGGGACGGGGGGAGAGAATCTTTTCCAAGCCTGACTCCTCCTAAACCTAAGTTTGCCTAGAAGCAGGTTTGCAATTGCAACTAAAGAATAGATCAACAAGTGGTGGGGAGAAGGGGAGGGAATTATCTTTTTTAAAAAACAGAGGGAGGACAAAGTTTCTTGCAGAAGAATCACAACATAGAGGCTTTGGCAAGCACAGTCCCACCTCCCTCTGCAAGGTCTCATGAACCAGATCCACGGTCATGATTTCCTCCACTGTCCCTATGAGGACAGTTTTGGTTTCTGCATCCCTCCTCTCCAGTTCCCTCTAGGAACAATTTCCATTGCAAGAGATCCATTGCCTGACAGAGCAATGATAAGGACAGCCTCCAAAGAGAGCAGATTACAATTGGCTGTGCTTAATTCCACTCCATTTTCCTTCTTCCCTGGACAACAGGGTGCAGAGCTGCTTTAGAGCTTTAAAGCAGCCCTTTACATGGCAGTAAAATGCTTTACTCTGCAGTAAAGGACTGCATAGCCAGCTGATAGCACACTCCTTGCAAGCACGGAGGCATTTAGCAGCAAGGAGTTCAGCAACTGCTTCCACCCTTCGTGAGCAGAGTGGGGATGTATTGCGTGGTCAAAAAATTGTCAAACCTTTATCACGATCTGGACTTTAAGCTGGTTTTCAGCAATGTATCAATAAATCACACAGTCCTAGTACCAATGATTCAAGATATGTAAAATGTACTTAATTGTAATGGTTCCTAAGGGGGTTGCTTGTGCGTAAGCAGGTGCCTTATCTTGCTGGCTGGGTGGAAACACCTGGCTGGGCTGCCAAAGTGAACCTCCTCTGTCCGGACAGCCACTCGCCCGTGGCTGACTCAATTGCTGGCAGAATCCGTGAGTGGGCGTTTCTTAAACTTCTTCCAGCAAAGAAGTTCCTTGACGCCTAGTCTCCGCCTACCCTCTCTGCGCGGAAGCCTTCTGCGCAGGGAGGGCGTGGGCAACGGAGGACCACTACTCTCCCCGCTGGTCCCAGGCAAGGAGTCATGGGACCGCCTCGCCACTTCCCCCACCTGCCCCCCTTCTCCACTGGTGCTACGCTGATTCTCTTCCCCAGAAGATGGGCTGCTTCTCCCGATCCCTGGACGCCCTCTGGAATCCCTCTGGCTTTCGCGCTCTCCCTCCAGTACTGATGGCAGTTCCCTGACAGTAATATAAAAGGATGGTGTTGACTTTGGTAGTAAGGCGTTAATATACACCTGACTTGCTCGTGTACAGTGGCAAAATGCAGAGCTACTTTGTTTTTCTCCTAGTTTTGGACAGCATAAGTAACACTTATATGCTTTACCTACAGGAATTTGCAGATTCCCTTGGGATTCCTTTTTTGGAAACCAGTGCAAAGAATGCAACAAATGTAGAACAGTCTTTCATGACCATGGCTGCTGAGATCAAAAAACGGATGGGTCCTGGAGCTACAGCAGGTGGTGCAGAGAAGTCCAATGTTAAAATTCAGAGCACTCCCGTCAAGCAGTCTAGTGGAGGTTGCTGCTAAAACTCTCCTCCCCATTTGCATTGAATCTGAAACCTGAACCCAACTGAAAAAAAATGCCTGAATTGTACTGTATGTAGCTGCACTACAACAGATTCTTATCGTCTCCACAAAGGTCAGAGATTGTAAATGGTCAATACTGACTTTTTTATTCCCCCGATTCAATAAAGCTAACTTCATTTTCAGAAATATGTTAAACCTTTTGTGTGCTGGTTTATAAAATGCGTGTAATCCTTGTTGCTTTTTCTTATACCAGATCGTTTCCTGTGGTTGGCTAAACTTGGAATATATTATTTTGTTCTGATCATATTGGCATGTTTAGATGTCAGGTTTAGTCTTCTGAAGATGAAGTGTAGCCCTTTTTGTATCCAACAGCACAAGTGTGTCTTGTCACTTTTCCATGCATAATAAAGTTCAGTAAGACACATGTCCTATGTAAGATCTGATTTGCTAGTTCCTTGTAGAGTTGTAAATGGAGAGATTACAATCTGTCTTTGATCCAAAGAACTGCACTAATTGGTTCTGTGCGCCCAAGGCAGGTTTGGACTCTACTTGTACCTCTCCCAGGCAAACCCTTTTTCTTTCTTTTTTTAACTGAGGCATGTTTCATTGGGGGTGGGGGGTGGCTGCCCCTGAAAGGAAAGTTGCAGATTTCCATTGGCAATGCCTTAGACCTTGGGCAATCCTAAAGTAGCTCTTTGGATCCTAGATGCTGATTTTTTTCTTAACACTCTGCATATAATTTGTGGCTGCAGAACATTGTAATTTGTTGCACAATATGTAACAAACTGAAGAAATGTTTAATAAATATTGTACTTATTGGAAGTAATATCAAACTGTATGGTGATTAAGTATTGTCTTAATTCTTATGGCAAAGCGGAAAGGCTTGCATTGTGCCCCAAATGTACCTTTTTATGTGCAGTAATGGCACTTTAGAACCTTTTCCTGGACCATACCTTCCCAGCCGAACAAATAACTAGCAAGTATGGCTTAAATGACTAAAAGTTGCCATGGTGTTTCTGGCGTGTATGCTATACTTGGAACACAAAATCTTATAACATTGTTTATAGAATCATAATCACTCTAAATGTACCATATTCTCCCCCTCCCTGCTCCTAAGTGTCTGGATCTTTCTAAATGATTTCATTTAGAAATACCTTGTGTCTCTTGCTCTGTCATAGAAGAGGAAAGCAGTATTTTCCTAATATATGAATGACTTCAAACTAACAAGGTGATGTTAAAATCTGATGTTATGTCTTTTCTAAATAATGTTACTTCCATTCTCTCACAATCAAATACTGTTGACTTTAATAAAACTTAGTGCAATTTATTGGTTGGCTTGGTTATGCACAAGGAAGGTGGAGTGGTGGGAACTGGTTATCAAGCAAATAACCAGATGACTAATGTAACTTTGTGCAGCAAGAAGACTCTAAAATGTAAGTTTGAGCCAAAACTCAAAACTTGATTTATTGCTACAGCGACCACGTCTTGTACAGAGAAACTAATCCATTAGTGCCTGTTATCTGGGTTTTAAAGTTACCAACTTGATTAAATAATCTCTCTTTTAAAAGAGATTAAAACTGCCATTAAGGCTTTTTTGCAAGAAAACAACCAGATGTGACTGCAAAATATGCCAGTTAGATATGTTGAGAGGCAAGTGTATTAGCAAATCACTAAAATGATTACTCATCCCAATACTGGGATAAACGTGATTTGCATCCACAACTGGAATACATAGTACCTTAAGTCTTCATACTGTTGTCAGAAGATTGAAATTACTGAAACTTTGAATATGCTCTTGAACTTCACAATAAAGTGTACTTCATAAAGAAGATGTGCTTAGTGGATCAATTCCTAACATGCTTTGAGGGTAATTGTTTTGATCAAAATAGTTCTTACGCAGAAGATATCTAGCTAGAATACTTTGTGTTCAAGGAATTTTGGTTATTCTGAAGCTACTTCTGAAACCTTTCATGCAATTTATAAAGTGAATTCATTGAGCACAATCATTTAAATTCATTTCTGAAGTGCAGAAAACATCTAGGATGGAAACAGGTTCTGGAGTAAAAGTGTATGAAATCTATATACCCATTGTACTCAAATAACCTCTGGTTAACAAACTTGTAATCTGATTGCCTACTTGATTTGAGAGCCAGTGTGGTGTAGTGGTTAAGAGCGGTAGTCTGCTAATCTGGGGAACCGGGTTCGCGTCTCCGCTCCTCCACTTGCAGCTGCTGGGTGACCTTGGGCCAGTCACACTTCCTTGAAGTCTCTCAGCCCCACTCACCTCACAGAGTGTTTGTTGTGGGGGAGGAAGGGAAAGGAGAATGTTAGCCGCTTTGAGACTCCTTAAAGGGAGTGAAAGGCGGGATATCAAGTCCAAACTCCTCTTCTTCTTCTTCTTCCTCGTGTGCAGAGTTAATTCAGGTTCTAGCAGGTTTAACAGTGAGAACCAGGCTATTAAAGTTAAGACCCTGGCAAAGGGGAGAGCAGATCTTGCTGATGAACACATTTTGACAACTGGGTGCTTAGCCAGTTTCAGATGGTTAATGTAGGCACCATACTTTATTAGCATAACAGAGGACCCTTCTGTGCCTATTTGCTGAAGTTAAGCAGCCTGTTAATCTTGGCAAGTTAATCTTCTCTAACCATTATCCTGAAAACGCAAAGAGCTGTGTAAATTACATCCTGTTAGTTGTAGGGCAGGTCCTCCTTAGTATTTGAGTAGTGAAGAGTCTGCTGGATCAAACCAATGGCCCATCTACTGCAGCCTCCTGTTCTCATAGTGGCCAACCAAGCCTGTGGAAAGCCTGTAAGCAGGAAGTGAGTGCCACACTTGAGATGCCCACCTCTGACAGTGGAGGTAGAACAGTCACTGTGGGAAGAGGAAAAGGCTAATCTAATCTTCAAAAGCCATCCAAGCTGTTGGCCATCACTGTCTCCTCTGATGCACGTTCCATCAACTCACTGCTCTCCGTGAAGCAGTACTTTATCCGCATTACTAGGATGAAGGCGAAACAGCACTGTGGTTTGGGCACTCAAACATGTGACAAAATATCAAGAGTTAACTTGTGCTATGAAACTCCCATGTGTCTGTCATATGAGTATTTTTCTCAGAAGCAGCGGAAATGTAACGAGTTGATAGGTTCTCATCTCCGTTACTTGTTTATATTTTAAGTTCTTGCCCCCAGCAGGAACTTGGAAGTTTCAAAAAGTGCTATGACTACAGCCTCAGGGAGTTCAAAACCACAGGGCATTTTGGGTTGCAAGACATAAAACTGAGTAACTGGGATGTCTTGTTATTCCTGAAGCATGTTCATAAAGCAACAATAGCAGGTTAGCTTGAGTGTACATACCCACACGTCACTGCTGCTTCCTGTTTTGCCTCCCAGTTGAAGAACGGCAATAACAAAATGATCTCCCACTTACAAATTATACTGCTGAAATGAAGAAAACTGGTGGGGGGAGAAGGTAAGCAGAATGGGTTTTTGTATGGAAGGACTGGTACTGAGACGGTATGCCACCCTCTGTTCTTTGTAAGCAAATCTCTTTTGCACTGGGCTCTGGTAAAGTTGAGCTCGCAACAGCCACAGTTCAACATACTGGGATCATTCAGTTTAAAGGTTCCAATTGCTAAATGTGGGTGCCTTCTATCATGTCACCTTCAGAACAGTGGAATCAGACAACTAAAACTACCTGTCTTGCTGAAGAGCATTATAGCAGGAGTTGAATGGGAAGCCTGTAAAAAGCACATTATTTTAAAGCTGCAATGATGCAGCTAGGATCTAGGTTAGAAAATAGGCGAAGATTAAACTACTCACAACAGCTATCACCGTAGCGGTAATTGAAGTGGCATAGTTGAAAACAGCAGGAAAATGTACAATTCATACAGCCTATTTAGGGCCTTGGTCTCATCTTGTGTTCATTTTATTCCCCATGATTGAGGAGAGAAGCAAATACGAGGAAAGGCACAGGTACTGCATTTAAGATACAAACTGGTTTACTCAACCCAATGTTTTCCTGCAAACCAGAAATAAACTGGTTTGGAATCTCTATTTTTTGGCACATGTGTTGAGCAAACTAGTTACTGAAAAACAGGTTGTTTGATTTTGCATGGATAGCTTATGCAGTGAGTCTTGCTACGATGGGAAAAAAAATATGCAGCCTTGCTTTAGCCAAATGTGCATGAGCAGCCAGTTATCCAATTTGGGGGGATGTATTTTAAATATTCAAAATTCTTATTTAGAGGTTTGGCAGTAAGGATTCTTAAACTCAACTTCAGTAGCAAAACTGTTTACCTCATCGAATAAGATCATACACAGTATGGGAACAAGTCTTGGATTTGGGCACTCATCTACGGGCACAGCTACTGTTTTAAACTACAATTAGTTTCCAGACTGAAACAAACCAGGTTTAGTTTTAACAGGGCAACTTCAAAGCATAATCCAGAGTTTGGCAAAACTGCACTTCCCTGCTTAGGCTTAACTATACTGTAGCTGAAAATGGAAGCAAATACTAGGAGGCAGCAGAGGCCTGCAGTCTCATTCCTCTTATGAAATGAGGCCATTAGCAAACCACATAGCAATTCTTCAAAAGAGCTATAAGGATAAGTTCTCTGTACTCCAAAGAAAATCAGCAGCTCTTAAACAGCAGTTTGCTAGAGAACCTCTACCAATGATTAACCAAAGAACAAACCAGCCATGGCACTATTCCTTTAAAAAGCATCAGGTGAAGTTATCCATGTCTTCTTAGAGATCACTGTGTGACAGGGAGATGGCATGTGTACTGAAATCACACATTGCCAGTGCTTTCTTTAATATATATGGTGATAAAATTCTTTTATTTGAAATGTAGTCTTCCATAGAAATTACATGTAAACAAACGAACCATATTTTGAAGGAAAACCTAAGTACATTAAAGAACCAGGCACTGGAGACTTCTAATTGTTCACTTGAACAACGATAACGATAAAAAGGGCATCCAACTTTAGAGGCCGTTCATCACACCAGTCAATGACCACACCAACATCTGTGGACGCTGTATCCAGCATACTCCCAACGGGCGCCAGAGATGGAGCCAGTTGCTGTAACACCTGAACTTGGAAACAAATCTTGGTGACGCTGCAAGAGGTCACATACAGCTTCCAGGCTTCAAGCACACTGTCGAGAGCACTTTAATATTTCCTCGAACTCCTTATTGAAGCAGCTCTTTCATTCAGGGAAAGAAGGCCTGTCAAATTCCACACAGAGGCATTATCTGAAATAAAGTAATCTGCAAGTTAACAAATGCGTCCTGTCTTTTTTCCATTGTGGACTTCAAACTAAATACACTTAGGATGAGCAGACCTGCTTCACTTCAGCAAGGTTGCTGCGTCAAATGCCTTTAGACTACACACTGAAAATTGCCCATGGTACCAAGCATTCATTTGCTCTATGGGATTTAAATAACTTAAAATAATTGGGGGGGGATTAGTATGTTTTTATTTGCAACCAAAAGTTCCTCAGGACATAAAGTGGCTGGAGAAACCCAGAACGGCTGGGAAACTCGGGCAGATGGGTGGGGAATAAATGATGATGATGATGATGCCTCAGTTCTGTATCCCATTACAAAGTAGCCCTCTTAAGTTACATGGCTCCCGTTGCTCAGTCCCTGCTCCTGCCAACCTAGCAGTTCGAAAGCACGTCAAAGTGCAAGTAGATAAATAGGTACCGCTCCGGTGGGAAGGTAAACGGCGTTTCCGTGCGCTGCTCTGGTTCGCCAGAAGCGGCTTAGTCATGCTGGCCACATGACCCAGAAGCTGTACACCGGCCAATAAAGCGGGCCAATAAAGCGAGATGAGCGCTGCAACCCCAGAGTCGGTCACGACTGGACCTAATGGTCAGGGGTCCCTTTACCTTACAGGTACAGATAAACTTCAACCTAAGCTCTACATTTCTAGAAGGCCACTGTTAATACTGCCACTTTCAACCCGTAATAAATCTTTTTAAAAGCCAATGGCCAGGAAGGTGCTATTCAGACAATGCAGGCTTGATTTCCCAATTGTTTTCTGCATTTTACTATTAGTGACTATGATTGCTATGATAGTTTAAATTAAACCACTGGCTGAAAGCAAGGAGCAACAAAACTAGAAAGTGTGTGCTCTCGTTGAAGGATGGGATCCTTATACCCTTTAGCACAGAGGCAGCTGAACTCCTTTACAGTGCTGTTCGGTATCATGTCTGATCAAAGTAAGGTAAAGGGACCCCTGACCATTAGGTCCAGTCGTAACCGACTCTGGGGTTGCGGCGCTCATCTTGCTTTATTGCCCGAGGGAGCCGGCGTACAGCTTCC